TAGTAGAACCTAAGCTTAGTGCACCAAATTCTCCATATCGTTCTTACTTTTAAAATATTTTTATAAATCGTATTTTTTATTGAAGCCTTTCATTAAAAAATAAAATAAATCTTTCTTTTTAAGCTTAAATTGAAATATTTTTTATCAATCAAAATATCTCAATTTTAATTTCCGTTCGTTTGATTTAAATGTACTACATGAGACTAAGTGATAAGGTTTAAAGATTGACATATTTTTTTAATGATGTAGATAACTTTAAGATACCCTCATTACCTAATTTACTCTCACTTTTAAGCATAAAATATTTTTTAATTTAAATTTATATCAATATAGTTTAAATATTTGTAAAGAAAATATTTTTATATTAATAATAGAAAAAGTTTAATAAAACTAATTTAATTGAGAAGTTTAAAAAAAAGCAAATTATAATAATTAAGCTTATAAAAAAAAAAATTAAATTTAGAGTGCTTTATACTTTAGTTAAATGAGAAGATTATACTGAGATGAAACAGAAGACCTTTCAAACTTTTTAAAATAAAAAATGCTAATTTATTTTAATTTTAAGAAAATTATAAATTACATCTTTTAAGTTTCTATATTGTCTTTGTTTTAAAAGATTGTTTTCTTCTTTATTCAAAGTATTACCCATTTTAACTAATAATTATATTTTTTACTTTTCAATAATTAATTAATTAACACAAAAAAAAATTATGTGTATTTACTCTTAATTTAAAAAAAATTTCATTTTATAGTATGCATTTAAAGGAATTTTTGGAAAAACTTTAGAATTTGATGGTTTTATGATAAAAAAAATAAATAAAAATATATTAAAAGTAATTAAAACACATATATAAATTAAAATAAATACATATTATTTTAGCTAAAGTAAAATTTGCAGGTAAATCAATTAATACTTTAACTAAATAAAATTTATTTTTACTATAAAAAGCTCAAATAAATATTAATATATACCAAAATTAAAATAAATCATAAATATATTAATTTATTTTAATTGAAACCCTTAAACAAATTATTTTATTATGAAATATGTAAAAAGCAAATTAAATGGTAATAAATAAATAAATAAATAAATAAATAATCAATTTTTCAAAATTAAATTCTTGTTCATACAATATAAATTAATTTTTAGATGAGTAATAAATAGATTTTCAATTTAATTAACTTAAAAATTCACCAATCAAGATTTGAATGAGAACCATCACAATAAGGACCAGCCTTTTATTTGAAATAATTAACAAAGGATAAATACTAATCAAAAAGTAAATAAATAAATAATTAAATTCCTAACATTCTAATTTTAAGTGATCAAAAATATATTGCGCTTAATTATTAATATTTGATCAAAAAAAAATTAAATAATATGCATTAAGTATCTTTAATATTAATTAAAAAATATCAACCTTTTAACTGTTTCGTTTGCATCCACAAAGAAGAGATCTATAGTGTTTTAAATAAAAAAATCAGTAGGAAACAAAAAATAATTGTCATATTTTCAATATACTATCATAAACAGCTTAAAATATGTTATTTTATTTTAAATCAACTAAATAAACTAAATTACATTGTTTAATTTTTTGCAATAAATTTTAATGGCTGAAATTTGCATCCAATACACTCTTTTTAGTCACAAAAAGGCTATATTTAATAAATTTAAAGTATTAAAAATAGTTTAAATAAATATTTTATACTTATTATGTCGAAAGCCCACAGGTGCAAAACAAATATTCTTTTCCTGGCTCCAGTTTTCTCCTTTTTGTTAATAAAATTTTTAATTGCATCACAGATGCATTATGATTATAATCATGTTAAAAATATAAAATTTACGAGTATGGAAAAGGGTTTGCAATATGAGGTTTCTCAAGTTTTGTTCTATCTATATTTAATCTTTAACAAACGGTTAATTATTCTTGCTATTTCTTATCATCTATTTGTTCAGCCATTTTATTAAGTTCTTCTTCTTCAGTATATATGTCTAAATAATTGTATCTAAAATTTTTATTAATTAATAATTGTAAATTTGTTAGATAGATTACTGATAAATTGTTAAATTGTTAGCCTTTTACTATTCTTTTACTAAAGATATAAAAACATAATGAAATAAAGCAACATAAATTTAAAGAAGCATTATAGCCCATTTATATTTTATTTAATATAATCTTCTTTAAAATAACTTTCTAAGTTCAATTAAATATTCAATTAACAAATTTTTAAAAATTAATGATGATACAAAAAGGAAGGGTTTCGATTAAAATTCATATAAGTTATCATTTAAAAGAAAATTCTTCAAGACAGACTAGAATAATTTTAAAAAGAAATAATTATTTTCGTAAAAATTTTTAAGGAATATAAATATGAATAAAAGTCATCCTTATCAATTTATATTTAGCATAATATAATATACTGTAAATGCTCATTAATTAAGGCATTCCTTAAGTATCTTTTTTGCTCAAAAAAAATGCCAAAAAAAAAATAAGTAGGTTAGATGTCTAAACTGAAATAGAGGTGGCTTTAATATATGAGCCTTTACCGTATCGTATATACTGTTAATAATTATAGTTAATTAAAATACCATTAATTATATTTATTTATTTAACGAACTCAATTTTTAGAGAGCAAATTGAAATTTTTAGGGAAATCATTTCCTTTTTGCATTTTAACTCCATAAGAAAGATAAGTAGGTTTGTATAAGTTAATATTGTAATCTTAAGGAATAAATCTAATTGCATTAGAATTTTCTTAAAATATTGATATCAGCATATTACTTTATAAACCAATATTTTAACGACGTTGTTTTAGACCTATATGATTCTTTTTTTATTTCTTTTACTCAAGCTGATATTTTTTTAACATTTAATTTACTTTTTAAAAATTATTATGGGGAAAGTACTTTTTGAAATGATAAATTCTATCAAATTAATTAGAAATACCAGATAATAATTCATGTTCTACTTTCAAAAAGCTTTTATGATTATTTGGTTGAAAGATCAGAGGTATTTACTAGTTTGAAATATTACTCGAAATGTTATCTACATGTTGAAAGTTAAAGTTTTAATTACTTGCTCTATTATTAAATTACTATTGTTAAAGTAGTTAATTTGAATTAAAACTATTACTTTTATCTTTTATATTTTATTTCTTTTAATAATTTATGTGCTATTCAGGATTACTAAGCCTTTTTTCTTTTAAATCTTTTATCTACCTTATTGAACTTACTTTATTATCATCTAGTAAATATTAATTTGCTTTTTCTTGTATATTTTAGTTAATAAACCTATTAAAATATTCTTTGACTTTGCATAAATTATCTTGAATCTTAATTTATTGTAATAATGGTATTTTATTTTCAAAAACTATGCTATTAAAAATAATATTCTACAAAAAAATTTACTCTTGTAAGCTTTTAATTAAGTCTGATTATTGTTAATCCTCTTAATTATTAAGTTGTTGATAAGATTTTTGGTTTTCCTATTTTATATTACTATTGAAGGCCAGATCTTTTTCCTGTTCAAATTACAAATTCTTAATTTCTAATACATTTTATTTTAAATAATCCTAGTCTTTTTTTGTTATTGATTTACACTATTAAGGTAAGTATTATTTTTTGCGGAAATGTAAATTAGGGTTATTGCTATTAAAATTATCTAATGCTTCAAACGATTTTATCTTGATTTCAGATACTTAAACATTTGAAAAACCTTTTTTTAATTCTGAGCTTTCTTAGTTTAATAAAGATTTATTATTTTCATTGATTTTTTCTTAGCTAACTTGGCATAAGTTTTCTTCAATATTTAATGTAGAAAGATTACTTGTATTTTTCTAGAATTTCAAAATTTAGTCAGTTTTTTTTATCGAATACTAATGCTACAAAATTTTTGAATTACCTTCTTCACTAAAAACATCTAAATTTGATTATGATTATGATGAAGAATCTTCATCATCCTCATTTAAGCACAATGATACTGTTTATTCAGAAGTAAAAAGTTCTTCATAAGTATTAAAAAGTAGATAACGTTAATCGTTTTATTATTTTAAATTGAATTTTAAAATATTGCAAATTTCTCTGTTTTTTACATGCTAAATTCTATTATTGAATTTTAAAATTAAATATTTTATAAATTTAACAAATTAAATTACTTTGCATTTTAGATTTGCTTTCTTGATTTTCTTTCAAGTTTAGCTCTTTCTTAAAAAGTAGAAAAGTTTTATCTTAATATAATAAGTTGTTAATCTTTAACTCTATGAACTTTTGGACATTAAATTGCTAAATGACCTATATTTTTGCAATTGTAGCATTCTAAATGAATGACTGATACTTCATTTTAAAGTACTATTTGATCTTGTATCATTTTAAATCTTTCAAAATCCTCAACATTCTGCTTCAATATTTATATAAATAAATCTCTTCTTATTTTATAAAGTGTTGATAAATTGACACTCCTTGCAGATGCCTATCTTACAAGACCTGAAAAGAAAGATAACTCACCAAATATCTAGCCTTCACCCAAAACTTTAATCACTTTAACCTTATTATCGTTTTATATTTGCTGTTAATAAATTTCAATAATTCCATTTTAAATGAAATAAATTGAGGAGTCGTCCTACTCTTATTCACAAATAATAACTTCATTTGGATTTATCAAAACTTCTTCCATTACAAATAATAATTTGCTTAAAGTTGCTTATGAAAAATTTGAGCTAAAAACAAAATAACTATTTAAAATTTTTTAATTTATTTGAGTAATTATTTCTTCTCTCAATTTATTAGAAAGTACTGACAATATTTTATCTTCAGCTTGTTTATCTCTGTCTTTTTATTCATGAGCTAAGAACTACAAATAATTTCTTACTCTACTTTTAAGTTATATATTCACATTTTTCCTAATTAGATACCTATTATAAATATTTAAAAATTAAAAAATCAATATTTTTTTTTAATTGAATTAGAGGAAAAACAGAATTTATCAAAATATAGCAAATGAATGAAAAGTTTTAAAAGCAAAATTATTCTCTAGCATTTTTAAATCTAATTAGACCATAATGATAATTTTATTAACATTAAAAAGAAAATAATTCTACATTCATAAAAATAAGGAAGGATGTATTTTGCAATACAAACTAAATTCTTCCCTACTAATTACCAGGGGATGCACAAAAAAATTTCAATAATATAAATATTTTTCAATCAATTTATAACCTCCATAATATCTATTAAAAATAAAAAATACCTTTGAATTGTTGTTATATCATCATTAAGCTATTTAGAAGATTTTTCAATTTCTTGTAGAATAAATCCTATATTGTTAATAGAGTATGCAAACACACAACTAAACAAAATCATAGCTACTGAAATGTAAAGAGCCTCAATATAATTTGTGGCAGCAATATCTCCATATCCAACTAAATAGTAAAAAAAAACTGATTATTGAAAATAAATTAAATAAATAAATAAATAAAACCAGTAGTCATTGTAGTTATTGACCAATAAATAGAATAAGCATATTTTTCATAGTATGCATTATTTTATATACCAAGTTTATCAAGCCAGCTGTTTTAGTTGCTTTTAATCTCTTAGATACCTAAAAAGTACCAGCCTAGAGCAGCTTTTATAAAAAATATATTTTATTAATTAAATAGGAAGGATATTTAATTACCTATATGGGCAGCTGTTATAACACTAGCTATTTAGTTGATGAGCTTAATTATATGCTTTTAATTTTCTGTTAAAGTAAATATATAATCAAATCTCTTTTTTTTCTGTGAAATTCCATTTAATTTAAGAAAAATTAGAATATTCAGACCATATTTAAATAAATTATCATCTTCATGTTGAACAATTAATTCGCTTGAAAATAGTTTCAAACTCAGGACAAGCAAACTTAGAAAATCAGTAATGAAAATTGTTGATAAAAAATATTATTTTGAAATTAGTTTGCGTTTCACTATAATAGTGTCTTTATTAAATATAGCTGTATTTAAATTAATTGCAATATCAGCTAAAAAGATAATAAATGAATTAAAAAATAGTCTGTAGCTAAATTAAGAATTAAAGTCTACTTAGTCAAAAAACATAAATAATGAGTAAATGTAAAGAAATGCATAGGTGAAGATAACCTAAAACATATCCCAAATGACTCTAGCTAAATCACTTGGCATGAATATTGGTAGATTTTTAGAAAATCTTTTAAAGCAATTGATTAGTAATAAGATTTTAAAGCTCTAAATTTATATATTTTTTTATTTATGAAAATAGGTTAAATCATTGATAGATCTATAGTCATTATCGCTCAATTCATCTGTCTTTTTATTAAAATGCCTTAATTTTAAAATATTAACAAAATTTTAGACATGCTATCTTATTCTAACTACTCTACAAACAGAGGTATTTAATATTTTATTGATAATATTAGTAGCTTTTAGAAAGTTCTACTTATATTTAGATTGTCTATTGGCATCTTCATTTATTTAATACTACTCTTTGAATTTAAAAGCAGCCTTTGTACCTAATTTTTTTTAATTTTTATCATAAAAAATGTCATCTTAGAGCCAAATTTCATTATTGTAAACATTTTTTCTTTTAACATTTGGCTAATAACTATCTTTAGCAACTTGGCATATTTGTTCAGCTTTAATGTTTAAATTTTAAGAAACTAAAATATTAGTCTATTCTTAATTACTAGTGCTTTTTATATCGCTAGGATGGGCATTGAAAGTTTGCTGTTTTTCCATGTCTTTGTTGCAAATTATAGTGCTATTGATAAAGCTCTAGCTTTGTTTAAGTTTTTCTTACATATCACCAGCATTTTTAATTTACTCTTTGAAAGCGGTTTCACCCAAGTCTTTATTTTGTTTAGTCACATTATTTATTTCTGAACTAAACTTAGTTTAAAATAAAATGTCACTTGAAGATATTTATTGTTTCAAATCAAGTAGAGTATTTTATGTGCCATCATGTAAGCTATTTTCTTAAATTTCAGAATCACCATGATGTGATTACTACAACTTATTATTTTTTTGTTAGAATAGATACCTTTAACGAGATCTGTCAACTTATGTATCGCTTAACTAACACTTAGTTTCATCTATTTATGAAATATTAAAGTGTAAAGATGGTTATTTTTCTATTTACTAACACTTTGTTGCAAATTAAGAATCCATCAAATTATCTCTTTATATTTTAATTAAATTTTTGAAGAGTAGGTATTTTTATATTTATTTATTATTAAATAGAAGGAGTTAAACAAATTACTAACTAAATAATAGTAGAAATGTAAGTATTATAAATATAATTGATTATTAATTTATTACTTTAAAACAACTAATGGTTCTAATATAAATTTTGTTTTTGATTTGTTTGTAAATGTTTAATAGCTAAATGTCAATACAATCTTAACACAAGCTAAAATATTCTATTATTCTTTTAATTGTTTCCAAATTTGTATAAAAAAATAATAATTCAATATTTATTTTAAATTATGGTAATAGTCTTATTAAATTATATAAATTATAAAAAATCATACATTTTTACAATCTATTCAAATTTTTATTGTTTTTCTATTTATTTTTATTTGCCATCATTATTTTTTTTATTATTTTATTTTATTTTATTTATGCCAATAAAACACTTATATTTGCTCTAATATGACAATTATATATTAAATCTAAATAAAAATTTTAAATATTCTAAAAATTTGTATTATTTTATTCATAAATAAATTATTTTAACTTTATCAATATTATTTATCAAAAAAAAATTATTTTTTTATATAACTAGTTGTATGGATAAAACATTATTTATTATTAAATAGAACTAATTTTAAATTAATTATATTTAGAATCAAATTTATTATCAAAACTTAATATTTTAGCAGCATGGTAAATGGCACATTCATTTGAATAAATTTATTTAAATATTTTTGAAATATAGAAATAATTGTTTTAGTATTGATTTTGATATTTAATTTGATGAAATTTATACTAACTAGCTAGCCTTGTTCTAGCTATAAAAAATAATTTTCTTCATGATTTAGATGAATTGCTAACTTTACTTATTTTATTTCTATTGACAATTAAGGATAATAAATTCACCAAATTTCAATTATTATTTAAATTATTAAAATTTTTAGGAAATTTAATGCCTTTTTACATTTTTACTCCATAAGATAGATGAGTTGGTTTATATAAATTAATATTATAATCTTATGGAATAAATTTAATAAAATTAGCATTTCCTTAATACATGTAAACAATTAAATCAGTGCTTACTCCAATATTTTATCGACGTTGCTTAGCTAAGTTATTTTTCTTTATTTTCTTTTACTCAGACTGGTATTCTTTTAGACTTTACAAGACTATTTCAAAATTATTATGAGGATAATATTTTTTGAAGAATTGAATTTTATCAAATTATTCTACTGAGATTGGTAAATCTTCAGATACTGTTTATGAAGAACTTTTATTATTTTGGAAAAGCAAAGGTATTTAGGTATTTTGAATAATATTAGACACTGCCTATATTAAATTATATTTATTATTTTAAATAAAATCCATATTTTATGTTATATCATTATTATTAGAGCCTATAATAATTTTATTATCTTTTCTCTATTAGGTATTTAAGTAGTTTGAGTTCTGTGAAATTTAACTTGACCTTTTTTCTTTATTGTCTCTATTAGATCTAATAGAACTAATACGTTTTAAAAAATTATCATCTTGAAAGCTTTTAATTCGTTTGTCAATAAAGCTTTTATCTACAAGATCTTGTTGGGTGTTTAAAGCATTATTTTAAATGTTTTATTACGGTAACTAATGAATCTTATTATCAAATAATAAACTGTTGAAAATAATATTATGCAATAAAATTTACTCTAATAAATATTTAATATCTTTTTGGTTTAATTATTTTTAGAAATGATCAAAACTTCTATCTTTATTATTCTACTATTTATTTTAATAATCACTTGAATTTTGTTAAATTAGCTAAGCATTTAGTTATTTGTTTACATTTTAATCATCTACCGATGATTGATATGATATTTATTTGGAATATTAAATATTTAAATGATTATTGCTAAAACCATTTTTTAATTACTTCTTATCAATGTCAGATTACTGCAAATTTATAAAACTTAAAGCTGGTTAATTTTATCTTTGGATTTCTAATTTTTTAGGGCTATTTAGAGCAGAAGTATCTTCTTCTTTCAAGCTTATTTACTGATTTATAAAATCAAGCATACTTTAGTTATTAGAATCCGTATCTACTTTGTTAATACCTTTGGATTATTAAGAAAAAATATACTCTTTTTTTTGAGGATCTTATTTTCTGTTCTAGTTATCTTATCCTTCAAATGACATAGTCTTTATTTAAAAACCTTAAAAATTAGAAGCAGCTTTTAAAAAATCTAAATTTTCTAAATTAGAATTAGATTTTGCAGTCGATGAGTGCTTTTCTTAATTTAAAGGACCTTCACTTTCTTCTATATTTTAAGTGTTAAAACAATTTGTTTTTCTTATCCATATCATAGCTGCATCAGCCTTTTTTTTTTACTAAGCTTTATTCAAAACTCTTTAATTTGTTTCCATTATCTACTCATCAAAATATAATGGATTCTATGACATTAATTCTTCTTCTTCATCAATTTAAAACTTTGACTAAGAGTATTCAGATGTTAAAAGATGCTCTTTTGTTTCAAACATTTTATAAAACTCAAGATTCTGCTCTTTTAATTTCACCTTTAAATCATTACAAACTACTTAGTTTTATTTAAGCCATTTACTTTTAATAAAAAAAATAATATAAATAAAAGCAATTAATTTAAATAATTTTACTAAGCATTAGGAGACTTTTAATTGTTTTTTCTTTTGATATAATCTCTAGCTTAAAAAATAGAATAATTATTTCTTAAAATAATTAGCTGCTAATCTTTAATCTTGTGAGTTCTTGGACATTGAATAGCTATGTGGCCTATCTTCTTACAACTGAAGCATTCAACATGAATAGAAGTTAATTTATTCTAAAATATAATTTGATCTTGCATCATTTTGAATCTCTCAAAATCCTCAGTATTTTCTTTCAATATTTCTATGAATTAATCTCTTCTTATTTTGTAAAGCGTTGATAAATTGACACTTCTAGCTGAAGCTTATCTTGGAATACCAGAAAAAAAAGATAGTTCACCAAATATTTGACCTTTTTTTAAAATTTTTATTACATTTACTTTTTTTTGTTTTTGAATTGAATGTTAATATATCTCTATAATTCCACTTTAAATGAAATATATTGAGGAATCATCCTATTCTTGCTCACTTATGATTATTTCATTAGGATTTACAAGAACTTCTTCCATTATAAATAATACTTTTTTTAGAGTGGCTTATGAAAAATTAGACCTCAACACAAAATAGGTATTTAGAATTTTAGAATTTATTTCCATAGTAATTTCCTCTCTTAATTAATTAGAAAGTACGGAAAGTACTTGATCTTCTGCTTATTTATCGATATTTTTTTATTCATGAGCTAAGAATGATAAATAATGCCTTACTCTACTTTTAAGCTAAATATGAACATCTTTCCTAATCAAATACCTAACAATTATTTACCAAAAATGAAATAAGATAAATACTAAATTTATAAGATGTAAATTAAAATGATCGATAAAAAAACAAACTAAATTTTCAAAAAATTTTTATTTAAATATTTTAACAAATTTTAATAAATTTAAAGTTAATTGTTTGAATAAAATTTTTAATAATAATAAGGTATTTATTAAAAATATTTTGTGAGTATAATTAAATCATTAATAAATACCTTTAAATTATAGCGATATCATCGTTAAGCTATTTAGAAGATTTTTCTATTTCTTATAGAATAAAACCTATATTATTAATAGAATAAGCAAATACACAACTAAAAAGAATCATTGTGAAGGATATATAAAGTGCTTCTATATAATTTGTAGCATTAATATCTCCATAGCCAACTAATTATATTAAAATTAAATATTAAAAAGATATACAAATATAATTAAGAACCTGTAGTCATAGTAGTGATTGACCAGTATATAGAATAAGCATATTTTTCATAATATTCTAATTGCGATATACCAACTTTGTCTAGCCAGTTATTTTAACTACTTTTCATCTCTTAAACACCTAAAAAATACCAACCTATTCCAGCTTTTTTGTTTAAAAATACTTGATTAGTAATTATTTAATTAAGAAAAATATTTTATTACCGATATGAGCTACTGTCATAATAACTGCTATTTAATTTATAAGCTTAATTATATGTTTTTAATTTTCTGTTAAAGTAATTATGTAATCAAATCTCTTTTTTTTCTAAGAAATTCCATTCACTTTAAGGAATATTAGAGCATTAAAAGCATATCTATACCAATTATCATTTTGATCTTGAACAGTTAATGAGCTGGAGTTAATTAATTTAGAAATTAGTACAGTCAAAGTCAGAAAATCAGTAACAAATGTTGTTGAAAAAAAGTACTACTTTGCTATAAATTTACGCTTATCAATCATATTGTCTTTATTAAATATTGCTGTGTTTAAATTTATGATAATATCTGCTAAAAAGTTTATTAAAGAAAAAAGGCAAAGTCTTTAAATGAATTTAGACTTAAAGTTATCTTAGTCAAAGAAAATAAGTAAGGAGTATATGTAAAGAAACGAATATGTGAAAATAACTTATACCATATCCCAAATAACTCTTGTTAAATCAGTGGGCATAAACACTGGTAAAAAATTAAAAAGACTATCAAACCAGTAAATTAGAGAAGAATTGAAATAGTTCTAGTTTTTTTTATCATTCAGAATATAAAAGTGGCTTAAATCGTTTATTTATAAATATTCATTCTGATTAAGATCATCAATCTTTCTATTAAAATGTCTTAGTTTTAAAAATTTAACAAAACTCTAAACATGCTATCTTATTTTCACAGCTCTAAACATAGAGCTATTTAAAAGTCTATGAATAATATTAGTTTTATTTTAATAGTTCTACATATATTTAGGTAACCTATTATCATCTTAATGTATATACTACTACTACCCTTTCAATTAGTTATTTAATTTTGTTTCCATCCTCTTTAAATTTTTTTCATAAAAAATTTCCTCTTAAAGCCAAATTTCTTTATTATTTTCATTTTTTATACTTATCTTCTTTTCTAAAAATCTGTTTGTTACTTAGAAGAGTTAGTCCTCATTTATTGGTTCATTCGAAGAATTCACTGCATTGGTTTTATCTTAAAGGTTAACTCCTTTTTTATCACTTTCCGGTGTGCTATATAACTTATTTTATTCTTTTTAATCAAATGTCATCATACTATCTATCTTTCTGAATCCTTATTTTATTATTTGTTGTGAAAAGGAGCCATTTTAAATTTAGGTTTAGATTATTTATTCACTATTATCTTAATCATTACTTGTATTTTAGTTGATCCCGCCCTAATAGTTTTCTTGAAATGATCTCCTTTCAACAGATATACACTATTGCATTTCAAATGTATTATTCATTCCATCTTACAAGCTACTTTCTTAAATTTCAGAATCTCCATGATGTGATTATTACAATTTATTATTTTTTTGCTCAAACAAGTATCTTTAGCGAGATCTATCAACAAGTGTTTCTTTAAATTGCTAAGGTTTAACATCATCGATCAATGTGTTTTTTTAAAATATAGATTATTTAATTTAAGCTAGTTTATTATTATTATGATTAAATTATGATTAAGATTCCATAATAATGATTTATCCTGCTTTAGCTTTAATGAATTAATTAATACTTATATTAAAAATCACAAATTATATTATGCTAAATCAAAAACAATATATTAACTAAAATTAACTTCTACTTTAAGAATTATAATTTATTTTCAAAATTACTTAACCAAAGTATTTGATAGCTTATTTTTTAATAAGATTGTAAAATATCAGAAAAATAATTACATAAAAACATTTTATAAAATAAGCTTTAATCTTATCTTTAAATTGTGTTTAATAGATTTTAAATTATATGATTATGTTTAAAAAATAAAAATAGACAAGCTTTAAGCCATAGATTGATATAAAAATAAACATTAAGAGCTGTATTTTTTATCAAATATATATTATCAATTCTTATTAATCAGGGAAAATTATATTAAGAAACCAATTAAATTAAGTTTAATTATATTTCTCAATAATTAGCACCAATTACTTAAAATAATTAATTTAAAAATCAGGAAATATAATATATATTTTTTACTATATATATTTTAAGATATTATTAATAAATTAAATCTTATATTAATATTATTTCTAATAAATTCTTTTTAAAATTTACTGATTCATATCTATTTTTAAAAGATCACGGCTGCTAACAAGTTTTATTTATTTCCTTAAAAAGTTCAATTTTTTTGGAGTGAATTAAAGTTTTTGGGAAAAACATTCCCTTTCTATATCTTTACTCCATATGAAAGATAGGTTGGCTTGTATAAATTTATATTGTAATCTTGAGGGAAAAGCTTAATTATATTAAAATCGCCTTAATATACTGAGGTAGTTATATTACTGCATAGTCCGAAGCGGCGTTACTTCAGACCTTAATTATTTTTCTTTATTTTTTTTTATTCATTTTGATATTTTTTTTAACTTTGATTTACTTTTTAGAAATTGTTATGAGGAAAATACTTTTTAAAATTCTGCATTTTATCAAATTAGTTTATTATAATAGATGAAGCATCATTATCAATAGTTAAAAAGCTTTTATAATTACTTAATTGTAAAATTAAAGGTATTTTTGAATCTTATAAAATACTAGAAAATTTATCATTAATTTGAATGTTTTAATTATTCTAAATATTTTATTATTTTTAATTAAATTGATTTGAGATGAAATTATTCTATTTATTTTTTATATTTTAGTTTAATTAATTTTAATTTTGCTCATTGCTACTAAGCCTTTTTTCTTTTAAATCTCTAAACAATTTAATAAAACTATATTTATTCTCTTAATTTTCATTTTTTTAACTCTTTTATCTTAAATCTGAATTATTTTATTTAAGAAAGGCATCTAAAGTATCTTAGTTGCTATTTTAGTTAGGTGGTTGTTATTATTATTGTTATTACGAAATTCTTTTATCCAATATCTAACAGGTAAAAAACTTATTCATAAGCAAAATTTACTCTTATAAAAATGTTATATATTCAAGCTATTATTAATCCATTTAAATTTAATTATGAATTTCTGAATTTAATTAGTCTAATTTTTAAAAATTCATTGAAATAGAGTCTTTTTTTTTATCATTTTCACATTCTAAATTATTAATTTCTTGTACATTTTAATCTTTTTTTTTAATAGTTTTGAATTATTGAGTAAAGAATTATTTTTGGCGAAAATGTAAATTAGGGTTGGAATTATTAAAATTTTCTAATATTTCTAATGATTTTATCTTCTCATCAGAAGCTGAAATATTAAAAACTGATTTTTTATGTTCTTAATTTTCTAAGTTTGATGAAATCTAACTATTTTCATTTATTTTTTCTTAATTTTAATAAGAGCACTAGTTTTCTTCAATGCTAGTTTTTTTTTAATTTTTTGAAAACTATTCTGTTTTTTTTCTTGTAAATGATTTTTGCAAAATTTTTGAATAAATATCATTTATTTAATCATCAAAATTTTATTGAACATATGATGCAGATTCTTCATCATCATCATCATCATCCTCTTCGCTTTAACTTTAAGATATTGAATACTCTTCAGAAGTTAAAATTATTTCATAAGTTTTAAAAAGAAGAAAGCGTTAATCGTTTTACTATTTTAAGTTAAACTTTAAAAGATTGCAAATTGCTTGGTTTTTTAAAATCTAATTTCTAATAAAATAAAAATAATATTTTTATTATTTTACTCAATTAATTAAATTTACCTTGAATTTGAAACATATTTTCTTCTATTTCTTTCAAATTAAGCTCTCTCCTAAAAATTAGAATAATTTTACCTTAAGATAATAAGCTATTAATCTTTAATTTTGTGAATTCTTGGGCATTAAGCAGCTACATGTCCCACATTTTTACAATTGTAGCATTCTATATGAATAGAAGATAATTCATTTTAAAATATTATTTGGTCTTGAATCATTTTAAATCTTTCAAAATCTTCAACATTTTCTCTTAATATTTCAATAAAAATATCTCTTCTTATTTTATAAAGTGTTGATAAATTCACACTCCTAGCAGAAGCTTATCTTTGAAGACCTGAAAAAAACGACAATTCTCCAAATATCTAGCCATCCTTCAAAACTTTAATCATGTTTTTCTTATTTTCTTTTTATATTTACTGTTGATAAATTTCAATAATTCCGTTTTAAATAAAATAAATTGAGGAATCATCCTACTCATATTCAGAAATTATAACTTCATTTGGATTAACCTAAATTTCTTCCATTACAAACAATAATTTGCTCAAAGTTGATTAAGAAAAATTTGAGATAAATATAAAATTGCTGTTTAGAATTTTTTAATTTATTTAAGATATAATTTCTTCTCTCAATTTATTAGAAAGTACAGATAATATTTTATCTTCCGCTTGTTTATCTCTATCTTTCTATTCATGAGCTAAAAATTACAAGTAATTTCTTACTCTACTTTTAAGCTATATATTAACACCTTTTCTGATTAGATATCTATTAAAAATAAAAAAAAATTATGTTATTTTGAGTATAAAAGCTTGTTATAATATTTATTTAAGGTAAGAGGTAGTGATAGAGGGTTTGCAATATGTTAAGATTTAGATTCCAAATTTTTAGAGAAGAATTTCTTCCCTTACAAAAATTTGTTTTCACAAAAATTTTTTAAAAATGTTCACTCCTAAAAATAATTATTAATAAAAAAGAAATACCTTTGAATTGTAGCAATATCATCATTAAGCTATTTAGAAGATTTTTCAATTTCTTGTAAAATAAATCCTATGTTGTTAATCGAATACGCAAAAACACAACTAAAGAAAATCATAGTGACTGAAATATATATGGCCTCAATATAATTTGTGGCAGCAATATCTCCATATCCAACTAGATAGTAAAAAAAGCTGATTATTGAAAATAAATTTAAAAATAAAAAACCCGTAGTCATTGTAGTTATTGACCAATAAATAGAATAAGCATATTTTTCATAGAATGCATTATTTTATATACCAATCTTGTCAAGCCAGCTGTTTTAGTTGTTTTTAATTTCCTAAATGCCTAAAAAATACCAGCCAATAGCAGCTTTTTTAATAAATTTATTTTATTAGTAACTAATTAGGTAAAAGTAAAATTAATACCAATATGAGCAGCAGTAATAACACTAGCAATTTAATTGATGAGTCTAATTATATGCTTTTAATTTTCTGATAAAGTAAAGATATAACCAAATCTTTTTTTTTTTAATGAAATTCCATTTAATTTAAAAAAAATTAAAACATTTAAGCTATATTTAAATAAATTATCGTTTTCATGTTAAACGGTAAATTAATATGAGTTAAATAGTTTCAAACTCAGAACAAGCATACTTAGAAAGTCAGTAATAAATACTGTTGATAAAAAATACTATTTTGAAATCAATCTGCGCTTAACTATGATACTATCTTTATTAAATATAGCTGTATTTAGATTAATAAGAATATCAGCCAAAAAGATAACATATGAATATAAAAAAAACCTGTTAGTAAACTGAGAGTTAATATCTAATTAGTCAAAGAATATAAGTAAAGAGTATATGTAAAGAAAAGAATAGGTAAAAATAACCTAAATCATATCCCAAATTACTCGAGCTAAATTAGTTGGCATAAATATTGGTAGAAATTTAGAAAATTTTTCAAAGAATTTTATTAGAAATGATATTTTAATGCTTTAAATATTTTTATCTTTTGAGATATGAAAATGACTTAAATCGTTTATTGACAGATAATCATTTTCTCTCAAATTATCTGATCTTTTATTAAAATGCCTTAATTTCAAAATATTCACAAAATTTTAAACGTGTTATTTTATTTTAGTTGCTCTACAAAGTGAGTTATTTAAAACTCTATTTATAATATTGGTTGCTATTATAAAGTTCTACTTATAATTAGATGGAGACCTAATGCAATCTTAATTTAACTAGTACTACTTTTTAAACATAGAAGCTACTTTTGTTTCTAATTTTTTAAAGTTCTTCTCATAAAAAATATCATCATGTAGCCAAACATCATTGTTAAATATATTTTTCCTCTTTTGAATAGGCAAATAGTTATTTTAAGCAACTTAGCTCATCTACTCAGCATTACTAGTTACATTTTAAGAAATAAATATATTGGATTGGTCTTATATGCTAACGCTTTTTAAATCACTTGGATGAATATTAGATGTTTACTATTATTCTATTTCCTTATCACAAATTATAGTGTTATCTAAATTATTTAGATTTTCATTAAGAATTTGCTATGATTCAGCGACATTTTTAATTTATGCATTAAAAATAGTTTCATTTATATTTTGATTAGTAATTAGCTTTTTATTCAATTCTGGGCTAAGATGTACTTGAAATACAATACCTTCGGTAATAGATAATTGTTATTTTAGATCAAGGGTAGTATTGCTTGTCCCGTCTTGTATGCTGTTTTCTTAAATCTCTGTATCACCATTATGTGATTATTGAAATTTTTTACTTTATTACTCAAATAAATATCTTTGGCGAGATCTATCTGCTTATCTTTCGCTTAACTAATGTTAAATTTCATCTGTTTCTGACATACTGAAGAGTAATTATTGCTCTTTGAATTTTCGTTCATAATTTTATATAAATTAAGAATCCATGTAAGCTTCCTCTTATTTTTTTAATTAATTTTTTTAATGTTAATCATTTAATTATTATTCTTTTTTACAAAAATCATTTAAATTGTAGATGCAGGTAGTTAAAATCTAATGATAATGTAAAAGTTAATTATATTCTTTTTACCTAATTAATAATTTTCAAGCAATAAAAAATTCAAGACATACATTTTTACTTTTATTTTTAAATACAAAATTTTAAATAGTTATATTGGTAATTCTTCTAACATTTAATCATTGTATAATAAATAGTTGTTAGGAAAACCTATGACTATTATTATGTTAAGCTTTATAAAAGCTATTATTTTTAACTTAACTTTTAATTTTCTAAATTATATTTTGATTGTAAAAATTATTTTTTTATATTTTTAAATAATGATTAAGATGGAAAATGAGTTAATTTGAAATATAGATATTCCATATTTTTAAAAATAAAGCAAAATTGATAACTTTATTATAATTTTAAAATTAGTCTAAAATTATGAAATTTATTAAAATAATTGTAAACTTAAATCAATTAAATTAATAACTTTTTTAAATATTTTATTTCAAAAGTGAAAGTATGAAAATTATATAAATTTAATTAACAGAGTAATTTTACAAGGTTTCAGAAAAGTTTTATCCTTTTTTTTGTTGTTGCATTTTAACTTATTACTGATTATTTAGGAGGTAAAAAGTAACATTATTTATTGAATATGTTTATATATGTTTAAATTATCTTAAATCATAGTTATAAATTAATAAACGTTTGAGAATATATTTAGGCATATTTATTCCCTTAGCATATTTATTTGATTTAACATAAAAATACCATTCTTTTGTTGAATGTTAATGAAGGAACTATGAATTTTTTTGTTGTTTATTATTTTATTAGCAATTCATTTATAAAACAACTGACATTAATAATAATCTGTAATCATTTAAAAGCTTTAGAAATATTTATTTGTTAAAACTGTTAATTTATATCTATTAGTTAATCATCAAAATAAAGTATTTATTATAAATTAATCTCATCAATAAAGATAACAACTTTCTAAAAATTTTATAATATTTATAACATCAAAAATGTTTTTACTTTATTTAAATTTGATGAAAATTTACTTCAGTTCATTTGAGTATGGATTTATAATTATCTTTGCAGTACTTTATTGGGAAAATTTATTTACATTTTTCAAGAAATACATTTTCCAAGTTGATATTTATTTAAAAAAACAGTGAAATATTCTAAAATTCAAATTAATATTCTAATTATCTCTCTAAAAAATACTGATTAAATATAAATAATTTAACTTTTTCAGGTGGGGGGTCCTAACTATTGAGGGTGAGAATTATTTGAAAAAAAAATTTCATTTTATAAACATTTTATTGGTCATAGAAGCTTTTTTATACTTATTTAACTATTATAAGGATTAAGGTAATTATAAAATTTATATCTTTGAAATTTTAAAATTAAACTTTATTATTTATTATTTTTTTAAATGTAATTAATTTTATAATATTTTAAATATTGAAAAAATAAAAATATAAAGGGATTGCAGCTTGTAAATATATGTTTATTTACAAAAAATATGGAACCTGTTTATAATTGCACTTTAAGTAAAAAATAAATGATGGAAAACAATTAATTACTTAAAAAATTTTAATTTATGGAATTAAACTATTTAAAATTTAACATTAAAAAATGATTTTTTTTCTTAATAAAAGTAAATCTTTAAAAGAATACAAGATATTTAAATTTTATGTAGCTACACAACTATTTTAATAAATTTATCCTTTATAAAATATTTTTTTAAATGATTTTTAATCATATTTTATATAATTTGTAATATCAGTAATCTCAAATAGAAAAGGTTTTTCATTTACCACCATTCTTGTTATTGTTGTTCTAATTATTTTATTGTTGATTGCCATTGTTATTTTGGTTGTTCTATTAGTTGTTATTATTTTAATTGTTTTATCCCTTATTTTAACCATCGTTATGATTATTTTAGTTATTCTAACCATTATTATTATTTTGATTATTCTAACCATTATTGTTATTTTGATTATTCTATCCATTATTATTGTTCTAATTATTCTAGCCATTGTTTTTATTGTTATTTTAGTTATTCTGATTATCGCTGTTGTTGTTGTTGTTGTTATTGTTATTCTAGTTATTCTAACCATTATTATTTTTTTGATTATTCTAGTCATTTTTATTATTGTTTTTGTTATCCTAGTTATTATTATTCTAACCATTATTGTTATTTTGATTATTCTATCCATTATTGTTGTTCTAATTATTCTAGCTATTGTTGTTATTGTTATTTTAGTTGTTCTGATTATTGTTGCTGTTATTTTAGTTATTCTAACTGTTATTATTTTTTTGATTATTCTAATCATTTTTGTTATCCTAGTTATTGTTATTCTAACCATTATTGTTGTTTTGATTATTCTAGCCATTATTGTTGTTCTAATTATTCTAACCATTGTTGTTATTGTGATTTTAGTTATTTTAATTGTTGTTGTTGTTATTGTTGTTGTTATTCTAACCATTATTGTTGTTTTGATTATTCTAACCATTATTGTTATTTTGATTATTCTATCCATTATTGTTGTTCTAATTATTCTAACCATTGTTGTTATTGTTATTTTAGTTATTTTAATTGTTGTTGTTATTCTAACCATTATTGTTGTTTTGATTATTCTAACCATTATTGTTATTTTGATTATTCTATCCATTATTGTTGTTCTAATTATTCTAACCATCATTGTTGTTGTTATTCTAACCATTATTGTTGTTTTGATTATTCTAACCATGATTGTTATTTTGATTATTCTATCCATTATTGTTGTTCTAATTATTCTAACCATTGTTGTTATTGTGATTTTAGTTATTTTAACCATCATTATGATTATTTTAATTGTTCTAACCATTGTTATTCTAATTATTTTAACCATTATTATTCTAGTTATTATTGTTGTTATTTTGGTTTTTCTAATTATTGTTGTTGTTTTGGTTATTACTTTAAAGGAAACGTAGAGATTTGTCTTAATTCAAGAGTTAAGATAAGACTTCAGTATTGATTTCATGTAGGCCAGATTAGTTAAAGTTTTCTTACTTCTATTGTGCTAAGTTAGATATATTTTAGTTAGACTGTTATTACTAACAGATGACGAGGGATGCACTAAGCAAAAGAGTAGCAAAGAGGATAGCTTTATTCATTTTATGAGATTATTTTGTTAATATTAGTTTATTTTATTTTTATTTTTTTTTATTTTGATTTAATTAATTATAAATTATTGAGAAATTCTTGCATTCTTAAATTAAGTTATCTACCAAAGCTAGAATGAAAAAACCATTTCAATTAATAAATGTTTATATTTTGAAGTACTTATATTATTTCATTAATAATTTACTATAACCCTGAATTATTTATTTTTAAGATTTTTGATCTTAATTTCAAACGTAAAAATAAATCGCTTCAATTAAATAAAGATATTGTAAACTTTTTTATGGATAAAAACTCAAGTTTTTATATAATGTTAATGTAATTAACAAGTAAAATATTAATAAAAAATTAGATACTTTATATTTATCTTACATTTAGTATTCTCTCTTTATTTTGGAAAATTACTCCACAGAATATAAATGAATCATTAAAAAAAAAATATGATTCATACATAATTGAAAAGGTTTTGTAAAGATTAAAAATGAAAAATAGGAAATCTATGATGCAGATTACAAGCATTAAATCTCTTAGTGATATGTTATTAACCACAGAAGTGTTTAAAATGGATTAATTTTTATGATGTTTTCTTAAATTAATTTAGTTAAATCTATGATGCAATAATTAAAGAGACTATTGAAATTTGATTTAAAAAAGCATTCAGCCTTTTTTTTAATTATTTGTACCTTTTTGTAATTAATTTATTTACTGATTTTAATCAATTTTCCAGATTTTTGATAAAGCAATTAAACCCTTTTCCCCCCGAATAATCACAAATGAATTATCCTTAGAAATGAAAATGCATTAAAAAAAAGATAAATGTTTCAATTATAAATGTAAAAATTTTTCTTTAAAAAATCTAGCTTGGTATTAATATGTTAATATAAATGGTAAATATTTATTAGGTAATACGTTCATTTATTTTATATTTGTTACATTCTTATCTTAAGACAATTTCAGCTTTATTGAAATTATTTGATACATATAAAAAAGTTTTACATATTATTAAAATGTTTACTATTAATAATTCTAAAGTAATTGTATTTTCACATAATATTTTATGTTCTCTTTTGAGTTTTGAAATACATTTGCTAAAGATTATAATATTTTATATGTATTTACCTCATCCCAATAAAAATGTTAACTACTATACTATAAGCTTCAAAATTGATTGAAATGAATTGATTAAGCTCTAAAATTTAGCGTAAAAAATATGAGCTATTGTTACTCCGATGACTGTATTAAAGAAAAATCTGAAATGTCTAACTGGATTTTTAATGGTAAAGTTTTAGATAATTTGATTTTATAAAATAACTGATTTGATTTTATAGATCGTAATCAAAATTTAAATAATATTGATATGATTCGCATTAATTAATTTAATTTAATGATATGAGAGTAAATTACACACTATTTTATTTATCTATTTACTGTAAGAAAATCAGATTTAATTTATTCAGTGTTGCATTTTTGGGTTGATTTCATTTCTAGATTATCAATTTTTATTGGATTCTGCTTCGAAACTTTATCCTTTTTCGACAAATTCACACTATAGCCCCCGAATAATTACATAATGAAAGTCTTTGATCTTAATAAAATTTGTTTGAAATATATGAAATTATAGAATTACAAGTATTTGTATTATAATATGCTAAAAATTTGTAATGGTATGTCTCGATTAGTTTAATCTTGATGAGTTTATAAAATTGTACAAAAATATTCCTCATATTTATGATTAGTTTTACTTTATTTTATCAAATTTTTTAATAGGAGTCAAGTATCAATTTTTTAGGTTATTCCTCAATAAGAATCTTTGTTGATAAAGTAAAATACATTTTAATATTTCTTCAGACAGTAATTATACTAGAAATGAGTAAATAAGAGAAATAAAGAATAAATTATTAAATATATTGAGTAAGGTAAGTTATTTAAAATATATAAAAATGATCTAAAATGCAAAGCAATTTAAAAAATACATTAATTTGTATTTAAATATATTTTAATTCATAAATATAAGCAATGGTCTTAAGTTTTATAAATACATATAGAGCAAGCGGACAGTGAACCCACATAAAAAATATGGAGAGTTCTCAAATTATAATGTTTAAAAAAATTCATTTTTTATATGAAATTTAAAAAAATCAGAGTGGAAAAATCAAGAACTCTATTTTATATAAATTTTAATTCAATTCCAAGTATTTTTTTTATTATTTGAATTTCTAAAATATCTAATAAAATTAAAATAAATTGCAATAAAATTATTTTTCAAGTAATAATAATCATAAAAAACTTGTTAAAGTTTCTATTCATTTCATCTTTCCTACTTAAACTTTGTTGATTGGCTAATTTGTGATAAAAAATTGATTAATATAATTAAATTTTTCTATAATCATAACCAGTAATTAATTTCAAAAGAAATAGTCTTAAGACTATTTTATTTTCTTCTAACTTATCTTTTTCGTGCTTTGATTGGATAAAAATAATTCTTTACTTTACAATGAAAATAAACACAGGTATTCCAAAATATACTTCAATAAAAATAATATTTATCTTAATATGATAAATACTCTTACTAGTATGATGATTCTTTTATTAATGATTCGCAATTTCTGATGAATGTTAAATAATACTGTAAGCGATCTTTTTAAACACTCTTCAAGCTATTAATGTTGTAATAAATTCATAAAAGCTTGTTTTTTAATGTCACAGCTTTGATAATTGAATTCATCAATTTAATTTAATTTCTTTTACTTCCAACGTAATCTATATTATAATGATATTAATTTTCTTCGTATTATCTAAATTTTAATCATAGTAAATTAAAAACTTGTAAACACGTCATTTAATTATTCTTAATGATTGTTTGAAACACCAATTAATATCTGATTTGTTGCAATTTTGGATTTAATTATTTTCTCGTCTTTTAATTTTTTGTGAATTCTATCATCTAATTTTTGTACTTTTTCATCAAATCTATACAAAAAACCCCGAATAATTTCATAAAGATGGTCTTTCAATAGCTTTAATTTTATCTTTTTAAATTAAAAATAAATCATAAGCAAATAACAAATTACATAAAAATATTTAGTAAAATGTTATTAAATAATAAATAATTTTAATTCTATTACTGTTTACTATTTTTCTTAACCATATTTAACTCTCTATTTGGTTATTAACATTTTTATTTGTACTATTTCTATAAAATTTATTTAAAAATGGTTTTTAACACTTTAACTCTTTAAACATTATTTTTAAGGATCATATTTTAAATTATCTGTAAAATTCTAGATTATCTATGTGTATTTTTATCAAGTTATGAGTATATTTGACATAATATTAGCTTTTATTTTTAATATATTTTCAATTATATTGCAGAATGATTATGATTATCAGTTGAAAATAATAAATTGTATTTACAATTATTATATACCGTAAGTTCTCGTTAAAAAAATCCGAACGAAATCCGAGAAATGATAGATTTTTGAAATTGATTAACAAAATTGACTAAATTTTGAAGAAAAATTAAAGATTTTTATGAACACAGAAAATTTAAGGTATTTAATTATTTTTACAAAAAAAAAAAATATAAATATGCATATTTAATTCAATTATTTGGTTAAAAATCCTTTTTAATTTATGATTGAACATAATTTGTATTTTATTTTAGCTTTAGTTATTATTTTCATTTCATTTATTTTTTTTTTTGAAGTCAAATATATTTATTCAAAATACCTTTACAAATAAAAATTCAAGAAACTCAAGTAAGACAGCAAAAAAAGTAAGAAGAAAAAAATAAAGATCTAATTGAACTGAGTAATATAAGAAAAAATTTTTAATCTTAAGAATCCTCTTCTTCTGGTAATTGAGGATTGAATTTAGTAAATTTTGGATAAACTAGATGCTTTTGTTTTTAATTTTTATCATTTTGATTTTCTATTTTTTCTCTAAATAGATCTTTTTTAGTTCATACTATCAGATACTTAAGGAGATCTTATATTCTATCTAGCTCAGCTAACATCTTAAAATTCATTGATTAAAACAAACAACAGTAAAAAATTTTAGTTTATGAAATAATTTCTATTGAAAAAAACTTTCATTTATGTCACAATCAAAAAGAAAATTTGTTTATATGCTTTGATATACTTTTCATTTTAATCAATTACTCTATTTATCAATTCTTTGGTACTTTCAACATACAATTCTTTAATGGTATTGTATTCCACCTTCTAATAAGACTAAACACCTATTTTTTTTCTTCACTGTTTTTTCTGCTGTTTGGTAGCTCAGAACAAAAGCTTAAGATTGGAGGGTTTAAATAATCAACTTAAGAAAGTATTTCGATAAGTATTTGAAGCAGAATAGTGTAGAGATGAATAAATAAAATCAGAAACTCAAGACTTAAGACTTGAGTGAAAAAATTTAATATGACTACACTTATTATTAAAATAAAATAAATGCTGAAAAATAATCTGAGAATAAGTAGATTTTAAATTAAAAAAGCAATTAGCTCCAAGGCAAAGATGTCTGAATCTATGCTCTTACAATAAAAATAAGATAGCTGAATTAAGATTTGAAACTTTCTAGATAGGTTACTTTGTAAAGAGAAAAAAGTGCCAACAAAAACCAAAGAAATATTCTAGTAAAGCTTTTTTTATATGCTATCTAAAAAATAGCCTATTATATATTTACTGTTCACCAAATAAAGTATTTATATTTTTCTGATAATTTTATAACAGATTCATTTAAAGTAAAAGTAATCTAAATCCTCATTAACAAATAACAAAGTTTTAAAAATTTAGAAAAAAATATAATTTTGAGCTAGTGGTAATTTATCAAGATTATTTATGTAAATTTTAATTTTTATAAATTAGAAATATCAAAAACAATATTGAATTAGCTTCATATATAGCATGAATTAAATCAAATTTTGCATTTTAGGTTTCAGAATAATGAAGGAGGGGGGAGGTCATTTTTATTAATTAAGATTTAAAGTCATTTTTAATTATTAATTTGACATCATATTATTTATATATTATTATAAGAACTAGAAAGATTTAACCTTAATTTTACAAATTAACATTTTTGTATTTTAAAAAAAACATTAAAGTTAAAATATATTTAATAATTAAAAAAATTTTTCATTTAATCTTTTCAAATGATTATTTTTCCAATCTTGTTCATAAATTCTTTGTTTTTTAAAAGATAACAATATTTTATAAAATATATTTTATTTTTAAAATCAAATTTCTTTAAATAAATTTAGGATAAAATTTATTTACAATCAAATAATTTAAAAAACCTTTTAACTAAATAAAATATAACTGATCAAAAATCATAAGTATTTAAAAATTTTTTAATTTTATTTCTTTTCTGTTACTTTTTTTTACAATTTATGAATTTTATTTAAAATTAAAATATAAATTAGTTTATCAATAGTTAAATTTAAGCTATCTAATAGAATCGATTAAAATATTTATAAAATAGGATTTGAGGTTTAGTTTTATTAAGCAGAGCAATATTTTTAAATTTCTAAAAATAATATAAAATTGTTTTTTTAATTAGTAAGAAATTTAAAAAATCTAACAAACATTAAATAGAAAATCATACCATATCATTTATTTTATGTATAATAATGTTCTTATAATAAAATAGTTTTTTAATAAATCAATTTTTATTATTGTTCTAGTTATTTTATTAGTTGTTATTCTAATTGCCTTATTATTAGCCATTGTTTTAGTTGTTTTGTTAGCTATTCTCATTCTAACCATTTTATTAGTTATTATTCTAGTTATTATTCTAATTGTTTTATTGGTTGTTATTCTAATTGTTTTATTAGTTATCTTACTAGTTATTGTTTTGTTAGTTATTCTATTAGTTGTTGTTCTAGTTGTTCTATTAGTTATTGTTTTGTTAATTGTTGTTCTATTTCTAGTTATTCTATTAGTTGTTGTTTTAATTGTTCTATTAGTTCTATTGGTTGTTGTTCTAGTTCTAGTTGTTTTGTTGATCATTTTGGTTATTTTAGTTGTTGTTCTAACCGTTCTAGTTATTTTGATTGTTCTAGTTATTTTATTGATTGTTTTGGTCATTTTAGTTATTGTTTTGATTGTTGTTCTAACCATTCTAGTTATTTTATTGATTGTTTTGGTTATTTTAGTTGTTATTTTTATTATTGTTCTAACCATTCTAGTTATTTTATTGATTGTTTTGATTATTTTAGTTATTGTTCTAACCATTCTAGTTATTTTGTTGGTTGTTTTAGTTGTTGTTTTGATTGTTGTTCTAACTGTTCTAGTTATTTTGTTGGTTGTTATTCTAGTTGTTCTAGTTCTAGTTATTTTGTTGACCATTTTGGTTATTTTAGTTGTTGTTTTGATTATTGTTCTAACTGTTCTAGTTATTTTGTTGGTTGTTATTCTAGTTGTTCTAGTTCTAGTTGTTTTGTTGACCATTTTGGTTATTTTAGTTGTTGTTTTGATTGTCGTTCTAACCGTTTTAGTTATTTTGTTGATTGTTTTGATTGTTATTCTAGTTGTTTTTTTGATCATTTTGGTTATTTTAGTTGTTGTTTTGATTGTTGTTCTAACCGTTCTAGTTATTTTGTTGATTGTTTTGGTTATTTTAATTATTGTTCTATTGATTGTTATTCTAGTTCTAGTTATTTTATTGACCATTTTGATTATTTTGGTTGTTATTTTGATTATTGCTCTAACCATTCTAGTTATTTTATTGATTGTTCTAACCATTCTAGTTATTTTGTTGGTTGTTTTAGTTGTTGTTTTGATTGTTGTTCTAACTGTTCTAGTTATTTTGTTGGTTGTTATTCTAGTTGTTCTAGTTCTAGTTATTTTGTTGACCATTTTGATTATTTTAGTTGTTGTTTTGATTGTCGTTCTAACCGTTCTAGTTACTTTGTTGATTGTTTTGGTTATTTTAGTTATTGTTCTAATCATTCTAGCTATTTTGTTGGTTGTTTTAGTTGTTGTTTTGATTGTTGTTCTAACTTTTCTAGTTATTTTGTTGATTGTTTTGGTTATTTTAGTTATTATTCTAATTGTTATTCTATTAATCATCTTACTATTGATTGTTATCTTAGTTGTTTTAGTTATTTTCTTAAAGGATACGTTAGAATTATTGGTCTTTGTTCAAGAGCTATGATAATTGTTAAACATTCAGTTCATTTTGTTATGCAAATTAACGAAGGACCAATAAAGCTTAAGCACTTGAAAGCTAACTGAGCTATTACTTCAATTATAATAAATTTTCAACTAGTTAGTTAGCCTGGGATTATTGTCTTTAGCAAAGAACAAGTGTTGATGTGAGCAAGAGAGTCACAAAGAGAATGTTTTTGAACATTTAAGTTATCAGTTATCAGTTTTTAAAATTTTTTTTGTTTTTTGTTTTTTTTGTTTGTTTTAATTAAATAACATTTTTTAGTAAAAAATATTCCTGTTTTTAAACAATGTGGATTAGAAAATATTGAATGAGATAAAAGTTTTATGTGTTATAGTGTCTTTAATTATTATTGATTAATAATTAGTTTTATTTTGAAGTTGATTACAATTTTGAATAAATTTTTGATGATTTCTGATTTAAATTTAATACGCATTATTATTGATATAATAAATATTTGAATTCCAGACATACAAAAATAAGTTATTAACAAGCATTCGTAAAAAAAGAGAACATTTACCATAAAAGTATTATGTTTCAGTAAATATGTAATAATTTTCACATACAATAATGTGAAATATTAAAATTGATATTTATAATATATATTTAAAATATTCATAGTATAATTTTTAAAATTACAAGTCTCTTAGTAGTGTAAATACAGAAACTAAGATAAAATATTACTCAGATTTTTAAATAAAATAAAATTTTAATACGAATTATTTTAATGCATCATCGATATTTGTTAGCTTGAAAATATACATAAGTGTAATTTATTATCTTTGAAAATAAACTGACTTTTAATTAAAATGAGTAATCTTGTGTATTACGTAAAAAATTGAATAATATTTATTTAATAATCTTACCCGTTATTCTAAATCAATTGCTATTTTATTAATTTTAAATTAAATTTCCAGATTTATGATTGAGTGATTAGATCCTTTTTCCTCGAATAATCACAAAAGAACTACCTTTACTTTACTTGAATTTAAAAGCAAGTACAAATAAAACAAAAGATAAATATTTAATAATTGTTGCTTTTTATTAAAATAAGCTAAATATTTGATGATAAAATGATTTGAACTTATATTAAAGATCATTAATGAGTAAGATACTTATATTTATAATTTTGTATTTCTTGTTTATTCAAAAAAAATTTTTTTATGTTATACTTATTCTGCGAAATTATATAATAAATGAAGCCAACCGCTTTAAATATTTAGTAAGTCTTAATTATTAATTAGTATTTATGTTGAAGAAAGACCAATCATTATTATTCATATAGAAGAATAGTATATATTGTCAAAATACTTTTTTAAATTCAAAGGCAAGTATAATTTTTTATTTTTTTAAAAAAACTGTAAGAATAAGACAACCTAGTTATAATTATTACTAATACAATACGCATAATAAATTATTTGTATAATTAAATTAGATGACGTCTAAACAAAGAAAGTTGATATCAGATGATTATCATTATGGCTATTAAGTTTCTATAGCGTAATTTGAAATAGACTGATATTTATTAAATTCGTATTAATTAATTTTTCACTTTTAATTTGAAATGTAATAAATTGATGCGTTATTTGAGAATGGAATATTAAAAGAAATTTAGTACATATTTAATATTGCATTTTTGATTGTCTTTTATTACTAAAATTTGATTTTTATTAATTCTGTTAGTTAAATTTTATACATTTTCATCAATTCTAAACACATAACCCCGAATAATTTCATAATGAAAGTCTTTTCTAAGAATTAATTGGTTTATTCAAAAAAAATAATTAGAATTATGAAATACTTGATATAAATAAAAAAGCAAACAATAAAATATTTTTTATAATTTTATGGCTCTTTATATATAAATGCTAAATATTATAGTGTTATATTATTAGATTATTATTTATAATGAAAAATTAAATATATGGTAAAGTTATTTAATTTATTAAGAAATTCAAAACATAAAAAATTAATAAATTCCTTCTTTAAATAACTGAAATTTTAATCATTTAAATAAAATGTTAAAATTTTAGAACTGTTGTTTGATTGTTTAGTGATAAGTAGAATTTATCAATATCATATTTATCTAGAGCCAATCCTATATTTTAAAAATTCTAGCTCTATTGGTAAAGAGGGAGATATTTCATACAACTTTTATGCTTTTAAATTAATTTTTTTATAATTTGCTTATTTCACATTGTCGTATTATTTTAATAAAATTAAAAAAAGTAATAATATCTAAAGTCTTTTCTCAAATTTTAAGTACAAGAAAATTTTTCAAAGGTAAAATATATTTTTTACAAATATTAAGAAATATGGAATAAACCTCAATACTCTGTCAGATAATCTTATCAGGTATTATGGTATATTTATAACTTTAAAAATAATACATTTTTCATCATTTCATAAGATTGATTTTGAATTTTTAGAAAAATTCTATGTTTTTATTTTTGAGTACAATTATTAACTCATCTTTTATTTTTTTTTCATTTTTTAATTCAAATTTATGAAAGAAACAACAGGATAAAATTTACTTAAAAATCTAAAAATTTGTATTCTTAAAAACGTTTTTAATCATAATTCATTTTTTTTACTATCTTAATTTTTATATAAAACAAATTATAAATTTTTTAATAAAACTATATTTAATATGTTATTTTATGTTTAAATTAGAATTCATTAAAAAAATTATAAAATGATTTAAAATTTAATATAATTAAGTAAGAAAATATTATTAAATTTCTAAAAGTAATTTAAGTAATTTGAAAAAGATTTTTTTGAAAATGTTAGAAATTTAAAAATCATACAAACATTTAATAGTAAATCATACTTTTTCATTTATTTTATATTTGATAAAGTTTTTGTAATAAAATAATTTTTTAGTAAATCAATTTTTATTATTGCTCTGGCTATTTTACTAGTTATTATTCTAATTATTCTATTAGTTATTTTACTAGTTGTTGTTATTCTAGTTATTTTATTAATTGCCATTCTAATTATCTTGCTAGTTGTTCTATTAGTTATTGTTCTAGTTGTTTTATTAGTTATTATTTTGTTAGTTGTTGTTTTATTAGTTCTATTAGTTTTGTTACTAGTTATTATTTTGTTAACCGTTATTCTAATTATTCTATTAGTTGTTGTTCTAGTTATTATTTTAGTTGCCATTCTAGCTATCCTGTTGGTTGTTGTTATTATTGTTTTAGTTATTCTACTAGTTATCTTGTTAGTTATTGTTTTATTTATTCTATTAGTTCTTATTTTGATTTTACTAGTTGTTATTTTAGTTATTCTATTAGTTGTTACCCTAATTGTTTTATTAATTATTCTATTAGTTATTATTCTAATTGTTCTATTAGTCCTATTAGTTATTATTGTTATTTTATTAGTTATCTTGGTTGTTTTAGTTGTTGTTCTAATTATTCTAGTTCTAGTTATTTTGTTGATCATTTTAGTTATTGTTTTGATTATTGTCCTATTGATTGTTGTTCTAGTTATTCTAGTTCTAGTTGTTTTGTTGATCATTTTAGTTATTGTTCTAATTGTTCTAGTTATTTTGTTGATTGTTTTGGTTATTTTAGTTGTTATTTTGATTGTTATTCTAATTGTTCTAGTTCTAGTTATTTTGTTGATTATTTTGGTTATTTTAGTTGTTGTTTTGATTGTTATTCTATTGGCTATTATTCTAATTGTTCTAGTTCTAATTATTTTGTTGATTATTTTAGTTATTGTTTTGATTATTGTCCTATTGATTGTTGTTCTAGTTATTCTAGTTCTAGTTGTTTTGTTGATCATTTTAGTTATTGTTCTAATTGTTCTAGTTATTTTGTTGATTGTTTTGGTTATTTTAGTTGTTATTTTGATTGTTATTCTAATTGTTCTAGTTCTAGTTATTTTGTTGATTATTTTGGTTATTTTAGTTATTGTTTTGTTGATTGTTGTTCTAATTGTCCTGGTTATTTTGTTGATTGTTGTTCTAATTGTCCTGGTTATTTTGTTGATTATTTTGGTTATTTTAGTTATTATTCTAATTGTTATTCTACTATCCATTTTACTATTGATTGTTATCTTAGTTGTTTTAGTTATTTTCTTAAAGGATACGTTAAAGCTGTTGATCTTTGTTCAAGAGCTAGGATAATTGTTCAATATTGATGTCATTTTGTGATGCAAATTAACGAAGGGCTAATTAGGCTTAAGCATTTGAAAGGTAACTGAGCTATTACTTCAATTGTAATAAGTTTTCAACAAGTTAGCTAGCCTGAGATTATTGTCTTTAGCAAAGAACAAAGGTTGAGGTGAGTAAAAGAGTCACAAAGAGGATGTTTTTGTGCATTTTAGATAACAGTTAAATTGTGATAATTTTTTTTATATTTTTAATTTTTATTTTTTTGTATTGTTTTAATTTAATAACATTTTTTAGTAAATAAGTTATCTGTTTTTAAACAATATGGATTAGCAAACATTAAATGAGATTAGAGTTTCGTGGGTTATAAAGTTTTAATATTATTGAACCTTATTAATTTAGTTTTACTTTGAAGTTGATTACAATCTTGAATAAATCTTTGATGATTTCTGATTTAAATTTAATACGCATCATTATAGATAATAAATATCTAAATTCCAAACATGCAAAAATTAGAAATGTTAAAAAGTGTTTATATACAAAGAAAACATTTCATGTTATAGTATTATATTGCAGTACTCATATAATAGCTATCACCTACCAAAGAGTAAATTGTTAAAAATAAGATTTATAATATGTATTTTAAATACTCATAGAATAATTTTTATATTACAGCATTATAAATGAGTCACTAAAAAGTGTAAATCAAGAATATAAGATAAAATATTATAAAGTTTTTATAAACCTTTAATACTACTTATTTTAATGCGTCATAGATATTTGTAAGCTTGAAAATATACATAAGTGTAATTTAATGTTCTATAAAATAAACATATTTTTTAATGCGTAATTCTTGCGTATTATGTAAAAAATTAATTGATCATTATTTTTAATCTTACCCGTTATATCTAAATTAATTATTAATTTACTGAAATCAAATTAATTTTCCAGATTTATGATTGAGCAAAAAAGATCATTTTTCCTCGAATAATCACAGCAGAACTATCTATGTTTGAATTTTAAAAACATAATATTAAAACAAAATATTTTATTTATGAATAGATTTATTTCATAAAGTAGTTGCTTTTTAAGAATATAAAGCTAAATACTTATTTCTATAGAGTATCAAACTTATATTATATAAATAATATACTTATAAATGCTTTTGTTTATATTGATTTTAATAATTTATGTTAAATATGATACTATAAACTAAAACAAGTGAACCACATTAAATACTTTATAGATTTTTATTATTTAATGGAATTTAAGTAAAAAAATACCCATAATATATAAATACTAAAAATAAATGCTTAAAAATTGAACATATATTCAAAATAAATTTTTAAATTGAAAGGTGAAGTATAGTTTTTGATTTTTGTAAAGAAACTAAAGAATAAGACTATCTGATAATAATTATGAACGTAATATGTATAATAATTATTTATATAATTGAATTAGATTTGGTGTAAACTACGAAGGTTGATAATAAATGAACTACATGAATGACTATTAACTTTCATTAGCGTAATCTGCAATGGTTTGATATTTATTTAATTCGTATTAATTTATTTTTCACTTTTAATATTAATTTTATTAATCTAATGCGTTATTTAAGAATGATAAAAGAAAGTTAGTACATATTTAATATTGCATTTTTGGTTGTTTTTTTTAATTCCAAATTTTGATTTTGATTAATTTTGTAAGATAAATTTTATACATTTTCAACGATTCTACACACCGAACCCCGAATAATTTCATAATGAAAGTCTTCTCTAAGAATTAATTGGTTTTATAATATTAATAAATATAAATGTTAAACACAGATAAACGATAAAAAATTACTAGTAAAATATTTTATGATTAAAATATTAATTCTAAATACTTCCGTAATATATTTTTAGATGCTTTTCTAATTATAAAGTTATTTCATTTTTCAAATAAACTCTAAAAATAAATAGTTAATAATTCCCTACGTATATCACTTCAATATTTTCTAAAAGAAATAAAATTATTATATTTTTTAGAGGGTAGTTTGATCCTAATTTGCTTAAGTGGCACATTATTTATATTAATAATCCACAGTTAAAATATATTTAAAATCCAATATATAAACCATCTAGCTCCCCTTTAATTTTATTAAAATTATCTAAGCTCAAATATGTATAAATTATTATGCTTTTCTTATAAATATGAAAGAAAATAATTCAAAATCAGAAATATGATGATTTCTAATTGTTAATGATCAAAAACAATTTTTTTTTTCTTCCTTTAAAATTTTAAAATACATATGAAAAAGATCAAAAAATTAGTGTAAAAAAGAAATTTCATAAGTATATATTTAATAAAATTTATTTAGATTTTGAGTGTAAAAATGGAGGAACCAGTTAACTTTATAGCTAATATGTAATATCTAAGCCTTTTATGCAATCTAATTAAATTTACTTCATACATTATGAATACATTTAAAATATTAAGTTATTTTACATTTAATTTATCAAAAAATATATAATTTGTAAATGCGTTAATTCAAATAAATCATAAAAATATTGCGAACTAATTTAATTTATTTTTTAATAATGTTTGATTTTTTCTTGCTTTCTTTTTACTTATTTTCTTAAGTTTTGCTAGTATAATTTTAAACTATTTCAATGATTCTAGACATAAAACCCCGAAAAATTTCATAATCATAATCTATCGATTAAACATTTTTGCTTCTTTGAATTAGATTAGAATATCTAAATATAATAAATATATAAATAAATTAATAATTATTGGTTAGTATAATTTTTTAATTTCATTTAATTTTTGATACAATTACTTATTATAAAATAATTATTCAATTTATTATGCTATTGAATAAATAAGCTTATATAAAATTATTATTAAAATTTATCAAAAATTATATTAATTTTAAAGTTAGAATATAAATCTAAATAATATAAGTATTTAAAGTACTATCCTTTTATATTAAAGAAAAATTATTTGTTTAGATTTATATAGATATATTTTATTAAATTATTCTACAAATAAATATTTAAAAAATGATTTATAAAATTTATTTTATATTTATTGATAATAATAATTTGTCATTTTTTATAATAAAAGATATTTTTAATATTAGATGCTGAAATTTACTTTGTAACTTTAAGAATAAATAGTATCATAAAATAATTTATATTGTTAAGCAAAAAAATAAATAATATTGTTTTGCTTAGTAAATATGAAAATATTTTATTATAAAATTGGTTATAAATTATTTCTAAAAAAAGAGAAAAATGATTAAAATTTTTTTTAGAGCTAAGAAACAATTTTTATTAATTTAAACTAAAAATTTTTTCAATTTTAAATAAAATAATTTCAATTAATTACATTCAAATAGCTTTGTAAAAAATCAAAAATTATGATCCATTAAAGTTGTTTAAATTAATAATTTGATATATTTTTAATAAGTAATACTCTTATCAATAATTAATATTTAGTTTTTAGACTAATTTTTACTCAAAACCCTACTTTGTTAATGAATCACAGAAACCCTTATGGTATTTTACTTGCAAAAAAATAAAAATAGTATTTTAAATATGTTTTTTCTAGATTATTAAAATTATAGATCTCCTGTAAGTAAGAAATGTTCATTTTTCAAAAGAGTGATCATCTTTATAATTTTATTAATATTTTTGTTAAAGAATAAATGTTTACTTTGAAAGACTCTCTAGATAAGGTTAGTTAAATAAATGGTGGATATGGAAAAGATAATGGAGAAAAAATAGAAAGCCCGTTTAAATATCATCCTAAAAAAGAACTAGCAGAGAATTAATATGAAGATTTCTAACATAGATTCAACTAAAATAAATTAAAATAAAAGCTCGAATTAATTCAAATGGACTAAAGATATCTAGCATAAAAAGCAGACCTTCTGAAAAACTAAACTAGTCTTTAAAGAGGGAACTAGCAGCTTTAAAAGGATATTAATTATAATAATCCGAATGATCCTTTCTACTAAGATGAGGAAGAAAGAAGGATTATTGATAGGTACGAAAGTAACTTCAAAATTAAAAATAATAAAGCAAATAATCATCTAAATTCTTAATTTGAGCTGGATTAATTATTAAATGTAACAAATACTTTAAAATATATCTAATTTATAAATAAACACAATCCAAATATTTTTTATTATTTTAAGGGATAGGATGAAATTTCGCCAGAAAAAAAGAAAAAAGCTAGATTTTTGGACTAAGATAACTACAACAATTATGACATGAAATCACCAAATATTTTTTAAGGAAAATCAGTTGATAGAGTACAGCTTTTACAGTATTTAAAAAACGGTGTAATTCAGCCAACTCATTTAAATTAGTATTTTAACTATGAGTCTGATTAAGTTTTTAAATTTGCCCAATCTCCTTACAGCCAGATTAATATAGAATAAAAAGGAAGATTAAGAAACTATGAGTCAGCTATAAATCTTGCTGCCTCTTCTATTTTATAAGATGTAATAAATTATTTCTATATGAAATAATTAATTTTAATTTTTATATAGAGATATACTTACAGTCCATATAAAAAAAATGACTTAGTTTCAGATAAGATTTATAAACCTCATTCTGGTTTTATTCTAAAATGGGATTTTGTCACTGAGCTGCCCTTCAATGTTGAAAAAATAAGAGTTAACTATGGATTTTTTTAAAAAGGTGATTCTCTTTTCACTTATAGAAGTACAGAGGAATAAAGAAATGACCTTGTTTATAGAAGCACAACACATCATTATCAAACAACTTCAGAAAAAAGTATAAGAAAATGTTTGATATCTGAAACTCTTCCTATAAAAAATATCAAGCTCAATGCAGAAAGTGTTCTCTATTTCGATCTTTGGATATGGGAAAAAAATGTAATTTTTTTAAATAAATTTAATTGAGAGTTAAATTCATTAAATCAAAATGTATTTTTGAAGTATTTCCTTTCATAATCCTTAAAAATAAAAAAAATATCTTATTTTTTGTATAAAATTTTTTTGCTTTAATTAGAGCAAATTCATTTTGAATTATTATTATAAATTTAAAAATGAATTTTACTGAGTAAGAAAATATCTTTTAAAAGAAGAATTTAATCAATAAAAATTACCAAAAATTATCAAAATTTAATTTAAACACTTTTGAGAATTCTTTAAAGCAAAATACTGTTAGAAAATTGATTCAAAATTAACAAGAGTATTACTTAGAAATTAACACATTATTTATTTGTAATATTAGAATTTAAGTTTTCCAAGTATATATGGCTGGAGCCTTTTGGAAATGCTAGCTGATGATTTGTCTGTAAATGCTGGTAAATTTAAACTACCTCTTTACAGCAAAGAATATAATCCTTATTTGATTTACCAAACTGGAATTCCATATAAGAGTGATATAGTGTTTTTATATCTCACTATTATGTCTCCTGATGATGAAGTTAGAGTAAAGAGTTAAACTTCTCTAGTTGAATAATACATTATACCAAAGATACACTTGAAACCATAAAATAAAGAGATCTTATAGAAGTTCAAAAGTGAAACAGATAGAAGAACTTTTGGTAGAGTTTATAGAAAAGTTTAAGTAGGAGACGACACTGATGATGCTTATGCACAAGAAGAATCTTTGAGAAAGTATTCATTCATATTATTTTTAAAAATAAATTATTATAACTTAAAAATAGGGACATTTTACATAATGGGTTATACTAACCATAAGACAGACCATTTAATCCTAAACTCTAGCCGAATAAGTAAATTATTAACATTTAATAAATTAATAGTTAATGTTTAAAACTTTTAGTTAGCCTTTTCTCGTAGAAGATATTTCTGAGATTAAAAAACCTATTGAAAATAGTAGGGAAAGTCAAAATAAAGATTCTTAAAATATCTAATAATATATAAAAGAAATGGATCCATCTAATCGAACTGAATAATTAATTAATTAATAATTAATGCAATAATAATAATTATGATAATAAAATATATAAGAACTAAGTGAAAATGAAAA